AATGGATGTGGAAGTATAGGCAGGGGGACACAGCAGTTGAGATTAGAGAGAATATAGTATGTGCTGTAACATACTATAACAGGAATGGCAGAAATCGAGAAGTGTGCACAGGTGAGAGGCTTTTTGTGTGTATAGTAAACAGGATTTGATGTAAGATGAGAGAAAGAGAGGAGTCAAGTTTTCTGACTTGCTTCACTCGATGAGTAACTTACTTTAGAAGTCATCCAAAGATCAGATTTGGGTCTGGAACCCATAAGTGCAGTTTTGGATACATGAAAGCTTAGGTGCCTTTGGGTATGTTGAAAAGGTGGATGGGAGTGGAGCTTAGAGAGAAATTAAACAAGGCTCAGCAGATTCTGTTGCTGCGTGACTCCTCAGAACTCTTACTGTGTTTCAATGTGTAGGCAGGTGATTTGTGGCTCTCAAAGACAGGGTGGTAGTTTCTTGTACCTTTCCAACCCAGACCTCTTTTCTAAATGGAGAAAATCCTAATGACTAGTATTCTGTAGAATGTACTTGGTAAGTGCTGGTCTATTAGCACATTTTTAATCATTCTCCTTTCCTGCTGCTCGATATCAGTAGCTTTTGATTTTGTTTAACAAAACATAGTTTGGATGTGTGATGCATAGTGTACTTGCAAGTTGTGGGAATGAGATGGAGAAGGATTGAAGACAAAAAGTTTGCTGTTTCCCTGGGCTCCTCAGTGAGCATTGCCAGTGGCCTGTAGAGTGGTTAGCAGGTGCTGAGCTGAGTGTCCCATGTGGATCTGGAACACCATCTACCTTCCAGGCCACTGCTGGATACTATACTCAGATGGGGTGATTAGTGCCACTGCTGGCCTGGAGTCTCTGCTACCAGACATAAGCTGCAGACAGTCTCAAGGTTAACCACTCCCGAGATTGACTCTCATCCTTAAAAGCTAAAAAATATCTCCCTTGGGTTGGTCTGTACCAAAATATCCTAGTTATTTACTACCTGGAAGCTCAAGTCAATTGATTATTAGGGGCTTAGAATTTAGGCAAACACAATTACATAAATTATAATGACTTCTTCTGTGTTTTGGCCATTTATAATATTATATTATATGCAGCTTTCCATTCAACATGTATTCCAGAAATTTATTCATCTAAATACATGTAAATCTATCTGTTTTTAAACTAGTGTATGATATTCTACAGTATGAATATATCAAAATATATTTAGCCATTTAACTATATTCAGCTAGATTTTAAAAAAACTCAATACGTATAATGTAGTATTAGTAGGAGATCCAGGAAGGGGAAGATCAGGTACAAGAATTGAATGATTTTGTCTGCTCTTTGCCCCAGATATTTATAGACCACAAGAAAAGTTTAATTTCTTTATATTCATTACCTTCTCTTCATATTTATTATGAGAAATAACTGACCAGCTAAACAAATTTCTAGTAAAGTCCTTTTTGCCAGATTTATTTCTAATGTTAAATCCTTCATGGCACTTTTCTTGTTATTCCAAAAAAACTTTCACCTTTTTAATGCTTCTTCTCCACTTCAATTACATCTCTTGGCATTTGTATTCCAGTTATTTGCTATAATTCATTAAAGCACACACATCCTTTGTGCCCCCAGATTGGCTTGCTCATAGGGACTTTACAGATGTTTTTCATTTGAATTTTTAATTAAACTAGATTACTTACTCAGTTCTGATATTTGGTGACCAACATGTTTTTGAGCTTCATTTGTACCATTATTATCCTTTGGAGGGATATATTTTTTTAATGAGGTTAATGATTAATTTAAGTGAGGTTAATACTAATTTAAACACATCCAGAAGTATGAGGCCTGTCTAGAAGATATCCATAGTGCATGTGCTATGAAAAATAGAGGCATTTATTGAGGAAGATACAAGATACAAGAAACATTGTACATAGGACAATGACACCTCAGTCCCCTTCAAAGTAGGCACCTTGGGACCTCACATAGTTCTCCTAATCACCATCAGCTGCCCTGTTGTATTTTCCTTACTCTCACTGACAGTCTGAAAAATTTTCTCTTTCAAAAGTGGTTTTAGTTTTGGGAAAAGCCAGAAGTTGCAAGGGATCCCATGTGGGCTGTTGAGGGCTGAGTCACCTGAGTGATTTGATGCTTTGCCAAAGAAGCTCTGTATGGGCCATGATGCATGAGCACACACAATGTCATGATGAAGCTGCCAATCACTCGTTGCCCATAGCTGTGGTCTTCTGAATCATCCAAATAGTTTCCATGGAGGAATGTTCAAGCTTAATGCAAAATTTGATGCAGATTTGTTGCTCTACTTGCTCAGTCATTTTTTAAAAAATTTAAAGTATATGTTATTGATTATACTATTACAGCATTCCCAATTTTTCCCCTTTATCCCCCTCTACCCTGAACCACCAACCCTACCACATCCCCCTTAGTTCATGTCCATGGGTTGTACATAAATGTTCTTTGAGTTGTCTGTTTCCTGTACCATTTCCGACCCCTCCCCATGTATTTGATGCCTACCAATTATGCTTCCTCTTCCCTGTACCTTTCCCCCCATTCCTCCCCTTCCCCTCCCCACTGAAAAGCCTGCATATATCCATTCCTTTGATTCTGTTCCCGTTCTAGTTGTTTGCTTAGTTTTTGTTTTCATTCTTTAATTTTTTTAGGTTCATTTGTTGATAGTTGTGAGTTGTTTTCATTTTACCATTCATATTTTTTATCTTCCTTTTCTTAGATAAGTCCTATTAATGTTTCATATAATCCTCAGTGATGATGATCTCCTTTAATTTGACCTTATCTGGAAAGAACTTTTTCTGCCCTTCCATTCAAATGATAGCTTTGCTGGGTAGAGTAATCTTGAATGTAGGTCCTTGCCTCTCATGACTTCAAATACTTCTTTCCAGCCCCTTCTTGCTTGCAAGGTTTCTTTTGAGAAATCAGCTGACAGTCTTATGGGAATTCCTTTGTAGGAAACTGTCTCTTTTGCCCTTGCATCTTTTAGAATTCTTTCTTTGTCTTTAATCTTGGGTAACTTAATGATGATGTGCCTTGGTGTGTTCCTCTTTGGGTCCAACTTTTTTGGAACTCTCTGGGCTTCCTGGACCTCCTGGAAGTCTATCTCCTTTGCCAGATTGGGGAAGTTTTCCTTCATTATTTGTTGAAATCAGTTTTCAATTTCTTGCTGTTGTTCTTCTCCTTCTGGCACCCCTATAATTCAGATATTGGAACATTTCAAGTTGTCCCAGAGGTTTTATTTTTTTGGATTCTTGTTTCTACCTTTTCTTCTGGATGGATGTTTATTTTTTCCTTTTGTTCCAAATCATTGCTTTGAGTCCTGGTTTCCTTCCTGTCACTGTTGGTTCCCTGAATATTTTGTTTTATCTTACTTTGGGTACTCCTCTTTCATTTTCTTCATTTTTTGACCCAGCTCAATCAGATCTGCAAGCATTTTGATAACCAGGGATTTAAATTCTCCATCAGAGAGGTTGGGTATCTCATCATTGCTTAGTTCTCTTTCTGAGGCTTTGCTCTGTTCTTTCATTTGGGCCGTATTTTTTTTGTCTTGGTGCACTGTTAAGTTGTAAGGGGGCGGGGCCTTAGGTATTTACTCAAGTGGGGGAAATCTCCTTGCTGTGCTGCCTGTGTGGGAGGGGCCAGAGAGGAAACAATGCAGCTGGCCTGCTCATCTCTAGCGCACTTTTCAACCAGCTCTCCTGTGAGACTGGGAGTTTCTCCTGTCACGGCAACTGCCATAGTCCCCAGTCAGTTCTGAGTCTCAGTTTTACCTTAAGTCAGCCCCATCCTCACAGCCTGCTGCCTTGCAGCGGCCAGCCCCACCATCATGATCCACAGCCTCACTGGTTTCTCTCTGTCCACCCCCTTACCAGTCTGGTTGTTCTATTTCTTTTATTCTGTCGTTGTCAGTTCCATGCAGTTTGACTTTCTGGCATTTCTGGTTATTTACTGATTTTAGATTGGTTGTTATCCTCCTTATGGTTGTGTGAGGAAGTGAAGGATTTCTACCTATGCCTCCATCTTGGCCGGAACTCCTTGCTCAGTCACTTTGGATGTGATGGACCACACAGTGCACATGCTCATTCAACAATGCCTACCACTCCCCACTGAGGAACACGGTGAAGCAGTCATCATGCACATTCTAGTTCACTCTCTTTGGCTGCCAGATTACATCTATGTCAGGCAAAACATTTGCATTCTATTAACAATGGCTGGACATTTTTTGGACAGACCTTGTAGATTTATTTGTTGTCTGTGCTTCCTAATGTCCTTTCCACCTTATTCTGCTATTGTTTATATTAAGTACATCAGTAGAATAGTTTAATAGCTGAAGATCTTGAACTCAATTTACCAAGTTTTGCAAAGGAGAAAAATTACATGAGCTGTAGTTTTTATTATGAAATATTTATAGAAATGAGGTTCAACCTGTGTTACAATAAAATGTTAATAAGACTTTCAATACAACAATTAAAACATATGTTTTGTTAGGATAACTGAATCAAGTCCATTAATCTTCAATTTAGCAAAAAACAATTGTTTGGGTAATTTGAGTGTAACATTGTTAGGTAGATATTTGCTTTTTTCTGGGAAAACTTTTTATTGCTATGAAGTTCCCACAGGATCATCCTGTGGCAAAAATAAAGCAATTGGAGGCATATTTATATGTGCTCATTCCTTTCCACCATAGTATGTTTAAAAGTAATTTAAATCATCTTGATTTTGTAGGGCTCAAACCTACTATCTAAGTTTCTTTGTTCAAGTGAAGATGGTAATGAAGGAGTAGCAACATTGCTTAGAGTTGAGAAATTCCTAGATGGAGATATAAGTGGAAGTCAAAGTTTCTGCCAAGAATTAAGATCTGGGGGATCTCTCTTCCATTTTTTTCATACTCATGAATTTACTGATTCTAAGCAGCTGTGGGGAATCTCGATCTCCTGTCACTTTAAATGGCAAGTCTACCGTCAGCCGAGTGCACTGACCTATGAACTCTGCCTCCATCAGCTTCACTGTTGGCATCCTGAGAATGACCATCCTGGGTGGGAATGCTGCTGATCTGCTCGTTCTGAAATGTCAGAGATATTGATTGCAGCTCTTGCATTTTAAGAGTAAGTTCCTCGGCAGGACATCTGGGCTATTGCTGGTCTGTTTATAGTGAGAAGGGAAATGAACTATGTTGGGTGTGCATTTTTAACTTTTTAAGGCAGAATTCTGGAATCAGCAGCCAGTTCGTTGGAGATGCTAATGTGTTAGCCTCAGATTATACAATAAGGACTGATAAAACAGTGGTTGCTAGGATTTGGGGTATAATCCTCCAGAAGGAAGCCAAGTTAGTGAGTGTTATGTTGAAGCCAGAGGAAAAAGGAGAAAGCTGCAGCTTATACAGAATAGTCCAGAGGTTAAAAGAAACCAAGTGCTTCTGAGTTTTAATCTAACATGTTCTAAGCTTCTTCAGTTCAGTCTCCCTTTGTTATTACATTTTTTAAAAAATTATAAGCAAATGCATGTAGGTAGCATCTTACCACTCTTTGGCATAAAAATGCTGATATTGAATTCTGGGTGTTTGGTCACACTCTGTGTATTCTTGACTATTGCTCTTGCTGCTGATCGTAACAACTGTTCAGGTAATTGCAGTTGTCTTTATATGATTCCTGGTATGATTTAAAAATTATTATGTGAATGTAATTCTGGAGAGAACCGTCCTTACAGTTTTATTTTTGATTTTCAATGCACAGTTACACAAATCTAGAACCTCATAACTATCAGATAATGCTAATGAATTGCAGCTTGGAGAGGAAATTTAGCCTTTTAGATGGACTAAAAGAATATACAGAAGTTTTCATTTGTGGGAAATGTGTCTGTTGAAGTATCTCTTTGGAAGGCTGCTGTTTTCGGAGAGAGAAAAAATTAATTTTTTGTTTCTCTCCGTGTAAGAATGACGTTAACATCCCTGTACTCTTTCCGCAGGCCTCTCTCATATGGAGACCCCATCTGTGCCACATGCCTGGGAGTGAGAAAGCAGTGTGGAAGACTTGCAGCTTTTTGCTGTCCTGGTGTTATGAACAAGTTTTCTGGTTTAAACTATAAGTTCAGAGAAAATAGAATTTTCTAGCCTGTGAATGTTGGACATTCTGTCAGTATCCATTGAAGAAGATTGTGAATTGCTTCTGTTGGGATGACTGGCATTAAGTTCTTAGTACTGCTGACAGCCTGCAATTCTTTTTACTGACTTTTGAACAAATTTATGGACATTATTATACACTAACTTTCATGTTAATGCAATAACAAACTAAATAATTGAATATAAATTTTCAAGTAGAATCTCGTACTTAAAAGTTAAATCTCAGAAAGTTCTATATTTATAGTTATTCAATGTTCATTTGATTGTAGCAGAGTGTTGTACTTGAATTCATTTTGAAACAAGTTTTTAAATATGAGGTGACTTCCTAGATTTTCGCATACTTGAACTGGATTGTGCTAATATTGTGTTATTAATGGCCCTCTGGATAAATTGCATGTGGCTTATGCTTTTACTCTCTGACTAGTGTATTTTGAATTATATTATCATCTGTGCTTTACCAGATTATTTTTATGCTTTGGCTAATTGTATTCCTACATAGTGCAAAGTTGTTTGCATTCTAATAAAATTAACCTGATTTATCATATTTTAATAAGCAAGTATCTCAAATGTAATAAATTAAACATTTATTACAATGTTTAATGCTGAATTCCACATTTTGATTAAAGGCTATTTAGTCTACTAAAATAAAGTTTGTTTTAAATTCCAATTAACCTTTTGCTTTCTTGGTGCTATTTAAATGCATAGTATTATTGCACCTTGATAATAGAGTTCAATTTTAACCTTTAATTTTCATTGAAAACAACTATATTTATTAAGCTAGTTTGAGGTTTCCAACTTCAGCTATACCTGTTGAGATGACTAATCAGTGTAAAATAAAATAAATGGCTCCATTCATAAAATTCTTTTTTATAGGAACTTAGGAATCTGTATTGTTTTTACTGAGTTTATTGGGGTGACATTGGTTAATAAGATTATGTAGGTTTCAGGCATAAAATCTATGGTACCTGATCTGTATATTGCATAGTGTATATTGCCCACCACCTGAAGTCATATCATCATCGCCATGTACTTGACCCCATTTACACTTTAGTACCCCCACTTCCCTTCCCTCTGGTAACTTTCATGCTGTTGATGGTGTCTGTGAGTTCTTGTTTTTCTTATTTGTTCATTTGTTGCTTTCAGTTTTATGTCCCACTTATGGATGAAATCATGTGGTTCTTAACTTTTTTGGTCTAACATTTTGTTTAGCATGATGTTCTCAAGATCCATCCATGTCGTCACAAATGGCAGTATGCCATGTTTTCTTATGATTGAGTGGTATTCCACAGTATGTATGTACCACATCTTCTTCATCTAATCATCTATCAAAGGACGTTTTGGTTGTTTCTATGTTTTGGCCACTGTGAATGATGCTGTGATGAACATAGGGGCCCATATATATAAATAAGTATATGAATAAATGTTTCAAAATTTTCTGGTAGATACCCAGAAAAGGGGTTGCTGGGTCATATGGTAACTTTATTCTTAGTTTTTTGAGGAGCTTCCATGCTGTTTTCCTTAGTGGCTGTACCAGTTTACATTCCTACCAGCAGTGAATGAGGGTTCCTTTTTCTCCACAACCTTTTCAACACTTGTTGTTACTTGTCTTCTTGACAGCAACCATTCTAACAGCTGTGAGGTGGTATCTCATTAGAGTTTTGATTTGCATTTCCCTGATAGCTAGTGAAGTTGAGCATCTTTCATATATCTGTAGTCTGCATACATGTCTTTCTGGGAGAAGTGTCTATTCATGTTCTCCCCCTATTTATGTGGATTGTTTATTTGCTTGGTGTTGAGTCATATGAGTTTTTAATATATTTTGGATATTAACTCCTTCTTAGAGCTCTTGTTTGCAGATGTCATCCCCCATTTGGTTGGTTGCCTTTTTGTTTTGTTGTCAGCTTCTGTTGTGCAGAAACTTTCAGTTTGACATAGTCCCGTTTATTTATTTTTGCATTTACTTCCCTTGCTTATGGGGTCAAATTCATAAAATTTCCTCTAAGAACAAGGTCCATAAGTTTAGTACCTATGTTTTCTTCTATATAATTATTGTTTTAGGTCTTATATTTAGGTTTTTAATCCATTTTGAGTTAATTTATATATAGAGACAAACAGTATTCTAGTTTCATTCTTTTTGCAGATGGCTTTCCAATTTTCCCAGTACCATTTATTGAAGACGTTTCTTTTCTTAATTGTATGTCTTGGTTCCTTTGTCAAAAATTATTTCCCCATATACTTGTGGGTTTATTTCCAGGCCCATAGTTCTATTCCATTGGTTTCTATATCTGTTTTTCTGCTAATATCTTGCTATTTACTTATCATCACTTTGTGGTATAATCTGAAGTCAGAGAGGGTGATACCTCTGTCTCCATTCATTATTTTTTCTCAGGATTGTTTTGGCTATTTGGGGTCTTTTGTGGTTCCATATAAATCTTATGATTATTTTGTTCTTTTTCTTAAAAAATGTCATTGGATTTTGATGGGGATTGCATTAAATCTGCATATTGTTTTGGGTAGTATGGCCATTTTAATTATGTTGATTCTTCCAATCCATGAACATGGAATATCTTTTCACTTTGTTGTATCTTTTCAATCTCTTTTAATAATGCTTTGTAGTTTTCAGTATATAGGTCCTTCACATCCTTTGCTATTTACTTCTAGGTATTTCATTCTTTTTGTTATGATTACAAAAGTAATTGTTGTTCTTTTATTTTGTTTTCCAAAATTTCATTGTTAGGATATAGAAATGCAATGGATTTTTGTACAATCTTAATCTTATGTGAATAATTTATTTTTAATAAAAATGAATATGTCACATTTTCACAAACTTAGATGAGCTTCATATGAATCTAACTTTGGTCAACACCACCTATTATGAAATATGTAATAGTACCTTACATATTGTGTGTGAATAGGTAGCATATTATGTCCTATGTTCTGATGGAGCATATCTGCATGTATGAAGTAGGGAGCAATGCTAATAATGGATTGTCTGATGTGGGACCACAAGGGAAGGCTTCCCAGAAGAGGTAGGGCATTCGAGTTAGGTCTAAGTAAGAGTATATCAGGCAGATTAAAATTCACAGTATGAAATTCCAGGCCAAGAAGGCTGTATACACAAAGGAACAGAGTAATGACAGTGTACTATCAGCCAGACTCCAAATCTACAGTGAAATTCTGAGAGAACATCCAGATGTAAGGGTGCAAACATATTCAAATCTATTCTTTGTTTGTTGTCATTGGCTGTCTTGAATGTATCAACAAGAGAAATATTTGAATTAAAAATGTTTTCAAATATCTATTGACTTAAATATATAACATGTATGAATTGATTTCAGGAGTTATGGGTAGGTTTACTTATGTAGCAAGGCATGTGTATCTTGAACTAAGGTATTTGAAGATGTTTTCCATAATTGTGTTGTATGGATTTGAGGATATCTTCTTACACTACTGTTATAAGGATAAAAGAAAATATAGAAAGAAAAACTCTTTGAAAAAGAAAGAGTGCTCTCTCCGTATATGTGGGGATAGGAGTACTTCATGTTTTGGGAGGCTATTATTTCTGCTTATTTCTTCTTATATCCACCTCCATGAGAGAAGACTATTCAGTGAGTCATATTTTACAAATGGGCAGTTCAAAACTCAGGTAGTTATGTTCTTCTACATAGCTGGGCAGAATGGTGGGTTTATATCAGTGCTTGCTATTTCTTGTCTTTTATTCTCTTTCCTTTTCACCACCTCCGTGAATCTGGGGGAGGGCTCATTGAGGCAGAGCCCATTCTGTAAGCCCATATGAGTCTTTTGGATCCATTTTTCCATGCAGCACGTAGATTCCAATGAATAGAACAACTAGTTTTTGGAGGGATGGTCAAATAAGTTAATTTTTCCTCATAGGAATATGACTTTTCACAGAGAACACAAACTTACAAAGATGCACAAAACACAGGCATGCGTTTGGTCCTCTCTAGATGTAATGTGGAAGAAAGGGAAGCATTTCCCAACCAAAGATAAGAGATGTTTCTACTTGTGACATTTTCAGGCAGCATATCATCCAGGCGAGTGGCAGAGAATAGAAATATTGTTCCAACAACCTGAGAGTTCCTTCCCAAGGAAGCTGGAGGGGGCAGAGGGCATTGTTGATCTTTGTAACGGGCACGACTAAGCTGTCCTAGTGCCTCTGGCATCCACAAGGATAGTGGTGTTTGCTTGGTGCAGGAGAGTCGATTCTAAAAGTGTTATCCTGGACACAAGGGTTAGTTTCATAGGGTAAACATCAAAGGCTAAAATAGTTGCTATAGTTTAGCTCCTCCAATGAAATATGGATTAAATTATTGGGCCCTTATCTTGCTAAAGGCCTGATAGGAGAGAACTCAGGTCCTAGATTCAAATCTTAAGGTTTGCTGCTTTTTAGCTCTTTGACACAATTTTGTTTTGACTCCCTTGGACTTTTTCCTTATGAGATAAGGAGACAAAAGTGGATTTGAGGATCCATTTAGTCTATGCATGTAAATTGGTTAGTATGAGTTCTGACACATCATAGGTGATTACAGTTTTTAATTGTTATCATTACTGATTTATTAACAAAAATCTTCTTTGGCTTTTTTTGTTACTTACTTGTATAATTCTCTTCTGAATAACTTGGAAAAATGGGTGATTGACAGGAAAAGATATAGGAGTTTCTGGGTCTCTGAAAGTAATATCTATCTCAATTGAATAACTTCTAACTAAATTCCTGAAAGAACAAGTTATTTCCATTAGTTAGGAAACTGAAGCCTATTGTATTAGCTGTGGAGTTTAGCATAATGCCTTGCACATGGTCAGTGCATATCAAATACCTGCAATGAGTGGGAACTCTTTTTGTTTATGGCAAAGCAAGCAGCGACGTGGAGATGTTAGAGATTAGCCTGGGATACACAGCGAGGTACCAACAGGCCAAGATAAGAAACTCCCTATTCCGATGAATCTCAGTCCATTACTTTTTAAAATTGTTCCCACAGCTTCTTGAATTACTTTCGTATTACCTTAAACCTACATCTCTTCTGAAAAGACAACACCAGCCGTCACAGGTGACCAGGTTCTTGGTGATTGCAGACAAAGAGTTGAACCAAACACACAGAGTTCATAGCATAAAGAGGGAGAGCGGATTTATTAAGCAATAGTACACTTCAAAGAACATAGGAGCGGGCCAACTCTGAGCAGAGATTGACCTCAGGGGCTGGAAGAAGGATTCTGTTCTTATCAGGAGGATCCTTCCTGGCTAGTTTTGGCAGGCTTCTATTGTGCATGTACAAGTATTTGTATTACTTTAAAGCTACTGAGCATGTGGTCTCTTATGATTTTCCTTGATTGGCCACTGGAGAAAGGGGTCACAAAATGCTAACTTATGATAATGCTATTATAATGAAGCAGGGGTCATGTAGCATCTTCTGCACAGGTGCATTCATGAGTCACCATGACTCAGCGCTTTTCCAGAAAGCAGGAAAAACCGGTCTTAGAACAGG